TGAAATTTGGTATGCTTGTTTGTCTTTGTGTCTATGGTGTATGATGATGTGATTGTGATATTGTATTTCAGAGTGTTTTATGTGCTGCAGAACAGGAACCTGCTGTAAAACAGCAATTATGCTGAGTCAGGCTTGAGTTTTAGTAACCTTTTCCTGTTAAATCAAAAATCAAATCAAGCGCAGACTGGGTAAAGGTCTTAATGACTGACGAGAGGAGTTTAGTAACAGATAAAAAGGAAGTGAGTGGTTTCGACAGTGACAGTGCTTTCTTGTTGTCAGCAGCCCTCAAATCATGTGACTTCTGCAGTTCAGAAACCAGCATCGAGCTGAATATCATCACATTCAGCCCTCTTTATTAGCTCAGAGTGGGCTGCTGTTACTGCTCCATCTGTCTCACATGAACTGAACACACATAGCACCAGGGAACGTGCACACAAGTGTCTCTGCAGAGACTGAAATGTTCTCTGAGCTACAACAGCACAAAGGCCTGATTTATTTAGAAAAAGTCTCCATCTGTTCAGATCTACAGACTAAATTCTGACACAGTATATACTTATGGTTTAGAAATATGGTCTATTTTTGGAGCACAGGGATGAAATTTGCAGTGTCATGGACAAATCTGATTTCCTCTTCCCTACATCAGTGGGATTATAAACTTAATTCCCAATCTCTTTCTACAGCCAGAGAAGYGAGATCTGGGCAGATCTGTGCACTACAGCTCTACGAGCTCATGTTGCAGCCACTAAACTGAATAGTGCTTCCTTTTTCCTTTTTAAACCTGTTGCGGATCAGATACATCAGGGAGAAAAGGACTCTTTTTGTGCAGAGGAAAGGTAAAGAGTTTAGTCTTTCCCCTGACAGCACAGGTATCCATGGTGGCCTTGTTTCTAAGTAATCTGAGACTATTTTTTTTTTCCGTATCTTCTGTTTTTCTTCCATCTCCGTTTTGTAAAACTGACTGAAACTAAATATTTTGGGGAAACCAAAGACACCACATCCCCACACTAAAGTGAGGCACCATCCAGCCTATTACCAGCACAAAGTTCAAAAGCCTGCCTCTCTGATAGTATGAGGGTGCATTAATGCCTATGGCATGGGCAGCTTACACACCTGGAAAGGCTCCATCGGAGCAGAAAAAGTCTACAGATGTTAGAACATAAGCTCTCATCCTGATGACATATTTTTCAGAGAAGGCCTTGCATATTTCAGCAAGTCAAAGCTAAACCACACATTGCATCCTTTTCAACAGCATGGCTTCGTAAGAAGGGTCTAGTTACAGTTTACACAGGAGCAAATAATCTTCCCATCTGCACAAAATTAAATCATTCTCATTATAAACATGTGACTTAAACACAAATATAAACACAAAAATCTTGGTATTATTGTTTGCCACCAAAGACAAAAGCAGGGTTCATGCAGGGTCTTAAAAAGTCTAAAAAATTCTAAAATTTGAAAATCAAAAATTTAGGCCTAAAAAAGGTCTTAAAAACGCCCAGATTTTCACCCAAGGTCTTAAATTTAATTTTTGTCAAGTCTTAATTTTTTCTACTTTTGATCATTCCTGAAAACCGTTGGTTGCAAAGTTAAGAGTCGTAATCAGAGGTTGACACGATCTGTCTTCATGAAGTGCTATGTTTGCTACTGGTAATAATTAAACTACAAATCCCATGATAACTGCAGGAAAAAAAATGGCACAGTTTATTTCCATATTTTTGACCTCTTTGCCGCTTCAACCCCCCACATACAGTGGCTTATTTACCTGCTCAAAAAACAGATGTTCAGTCATGTCCACTGCTTGTTGTTTAAACATGGGAAAGTGTGTTTTTAATTAGACTTGACTTGATATCAGTGATTTTTTTTTTACTCTGTTGAAAGCGGTTCACAGCAGTCAGATATGACTGTTTCATTCAAATAATTTAGTGTTCAAATTTTAATATTCTAATTGATAACAATAAAAGGTTTATATTATAACATTTCTGGGACCATTTGAATGTTTCTGTTAATGCGTCAATTTGGTCTTAAATGTCATTACTAATGGTCTTAAAAGTTCTTAAATTCAACTTACTGAAACCCGCATGAACACTGAAAAGGATGATAATGATTTTCCATATAGTTTATATGGCAGATTAAAAAAAAGATTCAGAAAGTTATCATTGCACTTATTTCTACAACTGATTAACCTTTGGAGTCATCAATTCAAGCTTGATGCAGCTAATCACCATTAGCAAACACAAAAACGAATATAACTGGGTCAGATTTGTGGACATTGAGCTAAATCTTTACATGGCAGTAGCTGAGAGTCACCTTGAACACGTGCTTTAAGAGCTTCCATAATTTCTGGAAGTTAAACTGTGAAGTGCATCCTTCAACAAATGCTTGACCTTCTTCTGTGAACAATGATCCAAGGTACAACAGTTCCTGTRGAAAACGCAGGACGTCACCCTACACCAAGAATGGCTCAGCTCATCAATTATTTCTAAGCAGCATRAATGCTTCATACATGAACAGGGCTTAACATCTATACAGGTGTTGTTGAGTTTCAGCCTCCTGTTAAAAACATGCATTTCTGCAAATTTATAAATCTGCCTGACAAATGATTYTATATGTAAATGTGTTGGATTACAGAGCAAATAGTCTGTTTTTATGCATGTGTGATATGTTTAGTACAAAGGAGGGGCCACTTTAAGCCCAGCAGATGTTAAAGCATCTTCACTTGTCCTGCCAATGAGGACGGAGGAGTTTTTTTAGGKGGGTGCTCAGTTATTAGGCAACATCCCCGAATGAACGGAAGCCGGCAGAAAGGCCTCCTGAAGGTTCAGAYTGAGACAGAGTTCAACTTCATCACGTCACGAGCGAGATTTAAAAGAAAATGTCCACACAAGCCATGGAAGATGGATATGAGCCGTGTGTCTGCAGCGCAGCCTCGTAAAAAACGTGCCCGCCGGGTCTGAATAACGGTTCGGATTCGACGGGAATAAAAAAATGACAGGGCTCATTTACGGCTCAGGTCCATTCAGTCGTTCCTAGAACCGCAAACCCGAYAATTCCTCTTCAACACGCCTTTTGAGGACAATCGCTAGCTTGCATTGATTTGCTGCTTCCCGCTCCTCGTCAACCGCATATTTTTTAAATAAGTCCCAACATTTTATGAGTCACAGCCTTTTATAGTTTACCTTCATTTCTCCCCCCGCAGATACACATTTACCTGATTCAGATTTGAAACAGAAGCGCTGTCTGAATCAGAGAAAACCCCATTAAATCCATAACGAGGCTTCATCCCCGTTCATCTACATACCACAGTGGGTCGCTTCCGCTCTGTCCTCCCGGGGTGGYTGTGGGGTGAAATCTAGGTATCTTTCAGCTGACAGACCAAAGCGGCCAACCTACCGGGCTTACTAGCATTTGGGTCCGGTGGGAGGAGGTGGGAGGAGGTGGGAGTGAAAGCAGGCAAGCAATCAGGGAGGGGAGCAATCTGTCTCCAATGAAACAAACCGGAGAAGTGGGGTTTAAATGCGCCCTCTAGTGGTGACTCGCAGAAACGCACGCGTAGTTTTTACGTGCAGTAAGGTGTGAAGCTGGGGGGGATGGGAGACCACGTCACCATGACGATTCATCTCCGTGACCTTGGACATAAAATCAGGAGGAAAAAAAGGGGGCAAGACTTGTAATATTAGTTGAGCGGGGAGCATGTCGCTGAGAAACAACAAGTCACACAAATCATAAGGCAGCTGATGATCAGGATTTATACAGCAGTTTTACTCATTAGGACACATTTAGAATAGAAACGCTCACATTAACAGCTGATCACTGCAGATAAAACTCTCTGAGCACACCAGGACATAAAACTGATCGGACACACAAACAGCTACTCCTTGGCACACAGACCTTTGAGACAAAGGTACTCGATGCAATGTCGTGAATACTGATCCCATCCCTGAAATAACTAACTACATTTGCACATTTTTTTTAAATCAGTGGTTAAAGTGTCCAAAATATTGCATTTGTTTACCTACAGAAAAAGCCAAAATATTGAAAACAGGTCAACAATGACTTGCACGTTGCTCCGAGGCTTTAGGATGGAGAAGTCAGACAATGTTGATGTGTTTGTACATAATCACACTCAGATTTGTTGTGTAAAATGTGCAGTTGAGCTTCCGGTGCAGTCAGCCAAGTGCCTTTTTTATATTAAATGTGGAGCAGTACTAAAGTAAACTGTTTGATGCAGTTCAAGATAACCATCGTTGTGTTTGATTTCATAGTTTGCAATGAGTACCTTTAAACAACTCCCAGTTTTTTTTTTTGTTTTTGGTTCCTCGACCTAAACAAGTAGGCTTCCAGTTAATAACAATCACCTTTAAAGGCAGAAATCATAAGGTGCTAAGTTAACATAAGCAACTTTTAAAATAGTTTTGACAGCATTGTGAAGCAACATTTTCCATGAACTCTGTGTAGATACAGAACTATTACTCATCTGGCTGATAAATGAGTAAAAACATCATGTTGTGTTATTGTTGTTGAATAAAGGTTCAACTAAGGCTGAATTTCACAGTTTATCTGTAAGCTATTCTTTTGCTTCCAATATTTTTAACTATATTTAACTATATAACTAAAAAATACATTAGTTGCTGTTGTGCACCCATGTGCTCAAAACACAATTCCATTAAAAAAAATCCTTAAGTTGAAAAAGTGCAAAATTTCCGTATGGTCATAACACAATGAAAAAAAAAATCACCTAAAAACAAAATTTTGATTTATTAAAGCCCACTTGCTAAAACAATATTACCTGAGATATTTATCGTTTAGAAATGACCCTCACTTTTTTTAAGGATAAGTTCTATTTGTTTACTTAGATTTACTATCATCATGGAGCTAACAAGCCTATTGGAAATAATACAAATTATTTTTTGACCATAATTGTCATTTTGCTCATTCTGTGTCAGGATTTAGATGTTTTGATGAATTTGAATGTGCTATTTCTGTATTTTTTTTTATAAAAATCCCTGTTAACAATTACATAGGAGTGATATCTTTACAAATTAGCAGGTCTGATTTGTTATATTTGCATATTGACTTTTATGGTACTACAGACATCGTTCACAAAAAAGAAAAAACAAGATCACAAATATTACCAACAATAAGCAGCTCTCAGGTAATATTAGTTCCTGCAAATAGGGCTTCAGGTGAACCTGTAAGATACTACAGTTAAATAAATGACACATTTATATCAGTTACTGATACAGTYTCAAGCAGGTGTTACTATTAGTAATATTTATGATGACAAAAGGAGTCAGAATGAGCTGAAGTGCAAAAAAAATGCAGTTATTGAGATTCACATAAAAATAAGTCCATAAAGACACAATCTAGCAATTCAAGTAATCAAACCAGAAAACTTTGATTTAAAGGTAGATTAGGAAAATTATATGACAGGCATGGCTTCAGAAATAATCCCTATAAATCTAATCATTTTAATTTCCCTTGAAATGGGCAGCTTTTCTCTGCCGGCTGCTATAACACAGGGAAATCCCTTCCTATAATACTCAGCATCATTGTGAAGCTTGGAGGGTCCTCTTTTTAAATACAGGGCTGGAATCCCTGATGACATCATTCTGGACAAATAAAAATCAAGTTTTCAAACAGTCACTCTTGTACTCACAAAACAAGCTTTTTGATAGGCCAGGTGATAAATCGTCAATTGGAGATGGGGAATTTAAAATTAAAAATATTCATTGTGGCTTATTTTGACAGCACAGGTCACATTTTGTTGATTTGCACAAGAAGAGAGTTTCTATCAAAATAGAAAAAGTGTTAAAACAAAATAGAAACCATAAAACTGTTCATTTTTTCTCTGTCTTGCAAACCATAACATATTTGTTGGGTGGCTGTCACAGCTGTGTCTCAGAGAGCTCTGTGCACCAGGACAATTGTACAGAGAACCAGAGGATGGATGCATTGGGTGGGGGGACTCCACTGTAAACAAACAGGTTATAAATCAGCCATGTGCGAGCCCACCTACTGCTGCGTCTCCCCCTGAGAGGAGCCCTCTCCCTCCAGGCCGACTCTCCTCAGTGAATCTGAATACTTTTGCCTTCCTAAATTCACGATGTCCTCGATCTCCTCCGCCAGGTCCTTCCTGCCGCTTTCCGTCATGGCGTCCATGAGCCTCGACACAGTCCCTGGTCCCGCGTTCCTCTGTCCCCGGGCCCAGTGAAACAGCATGTCCAGCACCAAGGCACCCAGGTTGTCCCTGTTGAGCAGAACATACACCAGAAATGTAAGATAAGATAAGATAAGATAAGATAAGATAAGATAAGATAAGATAAGATAAGATAAGATAAGATAAGATAAGATAAGATAAGATAAGATNAGATAAGATAAGATAAGATAAGATAAGATAAGATAAGATAAGATTGATCCCACAGTGGGGAAATTTGCACATTACTGCAGCTCAATACAGGAGAGGGTGAGAAGAATAAAGAAAAATAAATAAAGAAAAAAAACTATACACATGTAATATATACCAATGTACACATGTCACCTTCAACTGCAGCAGCTTGAGGATGTAACATATACCAGTAATGCTCATGAATATATCACATTCTGTGCAGAGTAGTATTTAATTATATCTTGGTATGAGAGTGTGCTGTTAGAAATATGTATGTGCATCAATGTTTAAAAGATTTGGGGGCATTTTTTTTAAATCAAATACACATTTTTTGTGATATCACCCACAAACCCGGTACCAGAATGTTGATTTTATCGCCCCCACCCCCATGATGTGTGCTGAGAGGTTGGGAGAAGGGGGAGGGCCAGATGAGCCACACCGTCTGTGTGTAATCTCCCGCAGTGTCCCAGATGGCTCAGAAGGCCGAGAGCGCAGATTAAAACAATCAAAATGCACTCCGATGCCTCTCTCCCTGCATGTTTTTCCACCAGCTCTTCAACCTAAGCCCCACAGAGGTTTGTACTCTTTGTACTGTGCTTGTGCACAGATTACATAATCCAGTCACGCAGAGAAGATGTGTTCAGCCAATGTATATTCCCGTTTAAATCTCTAATATGATAACCCTGCTTCACATCCCAGCTGCAGGATGTGCTGCTACAAGGCCCCAAAAACCCACTGAATCAAAACAATATGCTACTAATGTCCACGAACCAAAGCACACAGAACCTCTTCCAAGATCCAGTCTGCCTGCCTCCAGTTTTAGCAGCAGGAGGAAGAATTGCACAACGTGAAGCAGGTGTTTTCCATGTTGGGACTGATCTGTGCTTTTTCAACAGAGCGGGACGCAAGTTTCAGCTCAAAAACCGTACACTGCTTTCCAAGTTATTATGGAAATTATTTTTTCTTCTGATTTTCCTAAATAGTCAATGCAAAATTCATCAACTGTTAGAGGATAATTTGAATGTTATTGAAAAAAAAAACTTCACAATAACAGTCTTTTTCAAAAATAAAAATAAAAACTTTAAAATGTACTGTTCCAAATGTTTTCATACAGTTTCAAAACATTTTATAGGTTGTAAAGAACTAAAAATGATTGTTTGTTGAATTTGCAGCAGTAGGTCATATTAAATCAAAATAAAAGCCCTGAGCTGCTGTTTGGATGTGACCTGCCTCCCACCCTCAGAGACCTTTGGCTCCAAAGGTTCTCAATAAGACTTAAGATCCAGCCAAAGATGCAGCAGGAGCTGGTGCATTTTAATGAATGAAGATGATTTTAGTCTTCGTGTATTTTTGGATGCACTGTAGCTGTTTCTGCGTGTGAACATTGGTTAGGGATGGCAGAATAGGTTTGCCTCTGGAGGATCCTACACTTTGATTTTCACATGACTTCAGAGGCACCAGCAGCTTCAAATATCTGATGCTTTGTAATGGCATTCTAGCAGCTGCTCTCTTAATCCCATGTATTTGTCAGAAACCACCCTCATCTGCACAAACCTGTGAGTGCACTGAATCAGCTACAAATCCCTAACATTATGATGATCGCACTTATGTTTTCAGGAATCATCTAAGATTTTCATACCTTCTTTAAGACATTTGACTATTTCATCCCTTTCGGCAACAGAGATCCTTTTTCTTTCCCATACTGCTTAAAAATGTTGGTCTGCTTAATAATAAGGAACATTCTGCAGTTGTTTTTCCTTTAATTGGGCTCACCTGGCAAACTAATCTTTACAGGTGTCTGAGACTGACAAGGACTTTTCCTTCTTACTTGTTCTTGTATTGGATCCGTTCCAACTCTTGGTAGCTCAAGCCGAGATTGAGACCGATGACTTTCCAGTCCTGTCCGATCTGAAGCGAGATGGACAGCAGGTTGGCTTCTGTCAGGTAGCCGCTCTCGGGGTCTCCCAGGTTCAGAGGAGGATGCGGGGGTTCCTCCAGGATGAAGCTGTTCTCAGAGTTTAGAGCCTACAAAACAAACATGGAATAGTTTCTCTCAAGTGATGATGGCAAGTTGTTGAGAGCAAATAAGGGAGGTGGGGATCACCACAAGCATTTTTAACTGACAGGAAGTCTTAACGGTAAAGTAGCGAGCCACTGGCAGTCGAGTCCTTTCCTCTTTCGGGCTATTTCCTCTGGTAGACTGCTGGGAATGTCCCCTCTGTAAAAAGACACCTGTAACAGACAGGACATGCAACATGTTTAATCTTAATGATTGATTCATGGAACAAAAATCACATCTTTGTCTAACTCATCCACAAAGAAGGAAACCTGACAGGGCACCACCAAATGTGGGMCAACGGGGAGTATAAAAAAAATAGGTGAAACCAACATTTCTATGTGAGTACAGTTCAACAGAAACACAAGCAGTTCCTCAGAAAACCAACAGAAATCCTGATTATTACCAGGTTCAAATAAAATACCAGGGTTAACATGTGACCCACTTTTTATCATTATGTTTTCATCACATTCAAAGAAGCTGCAAGTATCAATTTTCYGTTCCCAAAGTGAGATAATCTGTTTTACTGATTGGGGTCAACATTAGACTACAAACCAGACGCAGCTGACAGCAGTCTTCTGGTTAATGCGCCATGTCTCAAAGTGGTGTCACATTTATTACGTGAAGCAGAAGCAGCGCTCTCACCGGATCCATTACTGATAAACCGTCTAATCTGCTCATTTCTAGAAATAAAACCCTGCAGGCACGGCAAGTTTAAAATACACTTATTTAGAAAATCTCTTTTCCATAAATACAGTTCTTTGTGTCCCACTAACAAGAACAGAGTTTCATTTGATAACTCAGAAAAGAGAAATGACAATTTTAAATATTTGTATCCGTTATTTAGGAAGTCTGACAAGTATTTTATTATTACATAAACATGGTACAAGGACTTTATCATCAAGGCTAGAGGCTAAAGGAAAAATTACAAAAAGAGGAGTTTTTTGGGGGGAATACTGTTTTGCAGTGTTTTCCTAAACCTTATTCTAAAAGTATCTTTCACAGGGCAGCTCAGATGTGGGCGAAAAAAAGGCAAAGAATTATCAAGTTTCCTCATCTTGATCTCCACCCAACTTCAACTTCAAATGAGGCTACATTTCTTCTACTTCTTCCTGTTTGCTCAGTCTCCCATTAGTGGCTCTGCTAAAACCACTCAAATTTAACAACTTCAGCCTCTAAGAAGATAAAACACAGAGGAGTGAAGCAACGGTGAAGCTCTGAGTTTAAATCACAGCAACTAGTGTTTTTTCAGGAAGCTATGGCTGATCAGGCCTGAAGGAAAACAAATCCATCCAAATGATAAAACACTAGTTGCTGTGAACATCTGAGTTATGGATCAGAACCAGCTAAAAATGCCATTTAGACATCACATTAGTCTGTGTTTGGCTTCAGTTATTTGCTGCAGCAGCATCATAACGATACATGTTGATAAAAGATAATGTTTAAAATATTTGTTAAATACAGCTTTTTAAATGCTTGTTTTGGACTGTATTACAGTTAATTGGAACAAAAAGTACAACTTGTCACTTATTGTTTGTTGAAACATACACTATGTGGCATCATTTATTCTTGTAAAATAATCTATGCATTGAGTGCAGTAGCAGCTCCTGAGTATAAATATTTGTAGGGCAGATAGCTACAGGTGCTGGTCATAAAATTAGAATATCATGAAAAAGTAGATTTATTTCAGTAATTCCATTTAAAAAGTGAAACTTGTATATTATATTCATACATTACATACAAACTCATATATT